AACAAAACATCAAACCCACCTTCATTTTTTTTTGTTTTGCGAAAAAAAAAAAGAAACCCCCTTCTTTGTAAGTCCCCCAACACCCCCCCAAAAAAGGGGAATTCTTTTTTGTCACCCCCCCCCCCCCCCCCCCCCCCCCCCACATCATTTTGTTGTAACTAGTACCACCTTAGTTTCTTATGTGTTTTCCTAAACAACCGAAAACCCTTTTCGTTGAAGCACAGTGTTGAACTCACCGCAAAAAAGGCGAATGACTTTTCCTTCGCCCCCCGCCCCTTTTTTGAGGGTAAGTTGTACTTTTGCTAAAATATTCACCTAATCTGGCCTTTACCCAGTGTATCGAGGAGAAACTAGAAAAGCAACTGCAAGAGGCCGAGGTGTTGGAGACATGCGCAGTGCTGCAGTGCGAGCGCCTGTATAATGACGTCATGAAAGAGGCACGCAATAAGCTTGGTCTTGATCATCCTTTGACAACCAAGGTAACTCTTGCGTTTATCTCTCTCTCTTTCTTTTGCTCGTTTCAAGAAACTATCATAACCTTTTAGCCACCTGCTTTAGGAGTCAGCACTTTAAAACTGCCACAAATGGGACCTGCTTTTTATAGAAGGCCCGGGGGGTGGGGGGTTACTTAGGTTAATTTTTACTGGGCATGTGCCGCTGGTCTGTCAGAACCCGTACCCGTTTATAGCCTATCCTGTGGCCAGAAATAGACCCCATCTTAGTCACTTTTGGGAAAATGTAATTTTCCCGATCCCAACTTAGAAACTTTCTTTTTATGCATCTAACTTATAAGGCCTTTCAACTAGATCATCTTGAAATGAATCGACACTTTGGTTTACTTTAATGAAGTAAAAATCTTCCCATTTTTAAATCCCAACCTACCTGAATTTTCTGATCCCCCAAATCCCGAAAATGTGTCATCCCATCAAAGTAACTCTAATGAAAATACAGCCCTACTATAGTCAATCCAGTGTTGAGACTATAGAGAACGTGTTACAAGAATGACTAAATTAGCTTGATGTTTTGTGCTTAGCTCATTTAGCCAGTTTTCTAAAAAATAATTATCTCCTAAGGCAATTTAAAGGACTTTTTAGCAGTATAATATTGACATGTTATTTATATTTTTTTCTTTCATAGAAAGTAAGAAAAAATTTAAAAGTTATTCACAGGTTGTGTTCGTATTTCAGACAGCCTATGCCTTGTCCAATTTATACGAGTCTGTTTTTGGTGACAAGGAGAAAGCGCTTCAAGTTATTATTGACAATGACCTCGACGATCACAGGTCAGTTTTTTTGTCTTCGAAAGTTACGTTAGTAAGACACCTTTGAAGAATTTCTACTCTTCCATACTGTTAGTGAATATATATACTGTGTACATTCAAACGTGTTAAGCCGTCTGTCTTAGAGAATGGCCAAGTGTCCGCTTAATGCAGCTTCATGTTCGAGTACAACAGAAATTGTTGTTATAAACCAGACATAAACGTATTAAAGGCACAGGTGTGATGATACTTGTTAACAAAGAGACATTATATAAGGTTTTCTTACAACTTCCCAGTCTTATTTTACCTTTTTGTTAACAGCGAAGACGAAGAGTTCGAAGACAGCGAAGACGACGATTCGTCGAGTGATGAATGGAGTGAACAGGATGAACTTCCCGAGGCACTGTTGATGCAACAGGATGACCAGGAGAAGAGATCCACCATCAATGGCAGTAGCCGAAGTGGTAGTGTGATTGGAGATAAAGAAGAGAAAAAGTTAGTTGATGAAGTAGATGGAGAAGAAGAAGAAGATTTACAGCAAATTAAAGACTCTTCAATTGAAGAAGTCGATAAAAGGAGAAGGGAAAAGGGAAGCGAGAGGAAGTGTTTAACGAACGTTACCCTGGACATTAATGACGACGATCTCTTGGATTATGACGAAGAGGATGTTCTCTGTGAAGGGATGTCTACAGACTCGGACTCGGCCCTCAGTGAGGCCGGAGAGCAGGAGATGTTAATGGAAATTTCAAAACCAGTGTCGTTCTGTAAGTTTAACCTTTCAGTTCATTTTTGTCTCGTTGTCTTTTATTCATACGCATAAATATTTACTGGTTTGGATCTCGTTTACCACCCAGATGTTTTGTGACTCCGTTTTCACTAAAAAGTAGTATCGTCATTCAATTACGAACAAAAAACAGTGTTCGAGCGAAACTGTCTCGGAATCAAAGCACTGGGTCAGGTCACAGTAAGCATTCATCACTCATCAGGGGCACCCAAAGGGAAATTTTGAGAAAAAGACCTAAAAACAACAACAAAGCATGAATAAAGCTTTCTGAAGCCATTTTAAGCATTTTGGGAGATTGCTGGGAAAAATGTATCTGTTCCTCATTCCCAGCAAGACTAATGGAAGAGTTCCCAGCCAGCAAGGTGCANGTTTTCACTAAAAAGTAGTATCGTCATTCAATTACGAACAAAAAACAGTGTTCGAGCGAAACTGTCTCGGAATCAAAGCACTGGGTCAGGTCACAGTAAGCATTCATCACTCATCAGGGGCACCCAAAGGGAAATTTTGAGAAAAAGACCTAAAAACAACAACAAAGCATGAATAAAGCTTTCTGAAGCCATTTTAAGCATTTTGGGAGATTGCTGGGAAAAATGTATCTGTTCCTCATTCCCAGCAAGACTAATGGAAGAGTTCCCAGCCAGCAAGGTGCACCTACAACCGGCTGCAACCCTACTTACTGGGAAGTTTCTAATCAGAAGTATATCCAGACGTTACTAGCCCCAGTCCGGGTGTGGTCAAAGGGCAAAATTGAGCCCTTCAGTGGAGGGGGAACAAGGATTATACAAATGGCACATAGCAGCTACTCTTGGACATCAAATCCCCTCGGACACCCTAAATTGTCCATTTCCCAGCCACACTTTCCGTCCAAAGACATATTAAGTTTTCCAAATCTCATAGCCAGCAAAAATTTTGCCTGTAGAACAGATGTTTTGAGGAAAAGATCCATTGGGTGCCTCTCACTCATCATGATATCGCCGACAGCAGTTTATCCTTCATTATTCCAATGAAGACTGATAGGCAGGAAAAGGGCAGTTTCAAAATAAGAAAACGGATGGACAAAGAAGCATAGTTAAGGAGCTGGTCACACGCACGGACCCTAAGTCAGAGTTTAGTAGACCGTAAAAAAAAATTTTAAAGCTCAGAGGCTTTCATTTGAATGGTCTGCACACTTCAGGATAAATTCTCACCCGCAGAACCTTAAGTAGAAAAACTTAAGTCTGTCCAGTGTCTAAAATAGTCGGGAAAGCGGAACGAAAAGTTGCACGAAAACCGCGTGGGAGCTGGGAAAAGACGGAGTCTTCTCTCTTTCCGCCGTTTGTCGCTCGTTCGCTATTTTACTGCTCGCTCGGTTTTTTCGCTCTTTTGCACCGACCAAGAGCCTGTTACTGGCAAGAAAAACCTTGCACAGCTAACAGCCACAGAAAAGAACCCGCTGATAGCTCTCATTTGAATGGTCACAGCGTATGATTTCACGCACAGATTCGACACTGAGAACCACAGTTTACAGCGTAATAAACAGTACCACGACAAATTACAGCGTTTCTTGTCAAAAATGCATGATAACGTTGGGGAGACACTTTTATATAGTGAAGCTGTGTGTCAAGATATAGGTCTGTAGCGATTAATTAGCAGATCTAAAGAAAATGACTCAAATCCTCGATCTTTTTATGTTCACTGCATTGTATCGTTGTTACACTCTAGAAATTACGAACATTTTGATAACTTGAACAAAATAGACCAGGAAATGACATTACATCTTACTTTTACAGCTTTTGTGGATGACGAAGAAGAGGAAAGCGAGGATGATGTTGACTTTTTCGCAGGAAAAGTCACAAATAAGGCACTACAAAGTGAAGAATCACCAAAATACAGGTCTACCTCACCTTCTTTGCAGATTGAAGAGACTACGCTCTCGGTATCCAAAAAAGAACTGAAGCGATCTAGAAGCAAAGGTATTGTTAAATCTGTCAGTGTTAATGTGTAGAAATCCCTCCCCCTCCCCCACTCCCTCCTACTTCAGCCCGTGGACGAAATGTGAAATTTTGATATCTTTGATAATCAGCATCAGTTTCCCTAATCGATTAAAGGGACAAGTTCACGGTTAAGCACATGCTCATTAATTAAATTAAATTTTTTTCAATTTCTTATTAATTCTATCGGTTAATAATCCCACTCACAAGTATCTCTGCGATCTCAGAGTGTGTTTCAAAGTATAATATCATAGGTGACGAATTACTCCTTAATTTTGGCGCGAAATTTCTGCGTTAATTTGTAATTTCACATGTGAAATTACAAAATTGCCATGGCAACCCTCCCGTACGTCTTAGTGTCAAGATGGCGACGAAGTTTTAAATGCCGTGAATGAAGATGTCAGGGCACAAAAAGACGCTTTAGAAAACCTGAACACACAAGAGAACATCAAGAAGGATTCTAATAGGTATTTTGCCGAAAAAATCTGAAAAGTTCTGCACTTTATAAGCCAAACTTAAGGTCTAAACATTTCTCGATCGATACGATCCAGGATAAACATGTCAAAAATCCAATATTGCTAACGTAATTCGTCACCCATGATATTAATAGGTAATCAAATGATATACTCGTGAAATTAGGGAATAATTTCACTCGTCACCATTTGATTACACATACGAATTGTATTTCAGAGTAACCTGAAGTAAGATGGAGGAGTACTTAAATCGCAGAAAAAATTAGTGGATTAAGCCAACACTACGAACGTTGAATTTATTGTTGACCCGAAGGTTTTATTCCATGGTTGATTAATTTTACAGCTATTTGCAAATATTTAAGTTGATGATGTGCAAGTAACTGCCAGGGGATTGTGCTGATTGGTTTTTTGACAACATTATGACATGATCATATTGCTTGCATAGACGAGACAGCGTGTCATGGCAGAAAAGCATTTTGATAAATGAGCATGCGCTGAACCCTGAACCTGTCCCTTTATCCCTTTAAAGACTGAAATTTCAGGAAAAGGGGGCTTAATTTGAATTCTTACCATCTTTCGACAAATCAGTCTCGCTCAGAGTATGCATTGAGGCAGAAGGAAGAGTGTGGGATTCAAAAGTTAGGGTTACGTTAGTCGTAAGTACTAGCGACGCCACCAAAACCAGTGATGGTGTCGCCAGTTGGCGGCTGTTTTCTCAGGCCAACTAGTAAGTGTTCCTATAATTTTGGCAAAAGTCGTATTTATTCAATAATTTGATAGAGAAAGTGATATTTAGAGTAATAAGAGATAGCAAACTGAAAAAAAGGTGAATGAGATATTTTTATACAGAGTAGGGTTTTGTTGTCAATGGCAAATTACCTCAAAATTCCATTCAGCTTAAGCAGGCCTTGCCTTGTTTTCAAATTGACCCTTGCATGTTTTTTTTATTTTTGACGTGGACAAGTTAGAGAAAATCTGTAGACACCACTGGAAAGAACGCCTGAAAATTATTAACATTGCCAAGTTTGAAAGGGATTTGTTGAAAACTAAAAGACGTAGCATCTCAAAGTCGGAGCGATATCTTCGCAAAATTTTACAGACGCTGGAAAGGCTGAGGGTGCAATCTTGCGCCCACCACCACCATACAAACGTCTGTAACTTTTTGCAACTTTGCAGAGCTTTATCATCGCTCCTTTAAGACGTATCACTTCCAATTTTGGCAATTTTACTATTTTAAATTTTTAATTTTAATTTTTCCATTGGTGTAACGGATTTTTCCTAATTGGTACATGTCAAAAGGTCAAAAAACCAATAAAGGGTCTATTGCTTCACTTTCTCATTTTCCATTCCTCTATTTAACAATATTATTATCATGTATTTTTATAAAATAACTAAGATAGTACGCGCGCTCTGATTGGCCAAGAGCAGTGTTTGCATGAGAGTATGTAGACATGGTTGTGGCGTCAAGTTGTTTGGCTTTTCGCGCGCTAATCACGCAAGCACCAAATTTGAAAAAGTTTTCGAGTTCAAAACTCGACAAGTTTACTTTACTTACGCAAACCATAGCGTTTGCGCTAAAGCGTTTTGACCTTCGATCGATGTCGCCCGTACTCCGCAACCTTTGGTTATTACTAGTCATATTAGATGATTCAATTTCATTGTTATTTTATTCTTGTTTTCGTAAATTTCTTTCTCAGTTTTTATCAGCCACCAAAGGAAGCACCGAGTTATGGCGTGTTCTGCAGAAACTTTCTCTTCTGCCTGCAGTCTCCTCCGCTGACCATCCCCGTAACCTGTTCCTTATCTCAGACGGTCACGTGACAGAGGAGGAAACCACTCTGAGTTTGATTCATAAAAACTACCGCAGTGACCGGCTGTTCACGTTCGGTGTTGGGTAGGTGGCTTTTGCTTTGTCCAGTGTTATTTCTTTTAAGGTCCTTTGACTCTTTTTTTTATCAGTCTTCTTGTTTTTTTTTTGCAAATTAGGGAGCTTAAGTAACAACGACGGCGAAGGCTGCGGAAACGTCATTTGAAAAGTGAATTCGCGCTGCTTCAAACTTAATCGCGCTTATTTCATCTCTTTCATGCCCAATTCGTCAAATGTTGGCAGATTTCGCTGGAGTTGAATTCTAAGGGACTGTATCCAAGTACTAGAAGAGAAAAAGAAAGTCATCCTCTGGTGTCCACGTCCCCCAAAAAACGTGAAATTAAGTATTTTCACGTCGTAGTCGTGCAGTCACGGTAGAGAATGTAGAAGAAGGCGTGGTGCACGCGCAAGGGTGTTATTTTGCCAATCCGTTAATCTATTTTTTTTTTGTCGTTCACGTTTAATCTCTCTATTACCGTGACAGGGCAACAGCCAACAGATATTATCTGCGAGCCATGTCGAAAGCTGGAGCTGGAGCGTCGGAGTTTTTTGACAGCAAAGTCAAGTCCAAATGGGAGAGAAAGGTAAGAGCAACTTGTGTATTTTATCCAATTTGGCAGCTCTACTTGTTTTGTTGTTTTTCGGGTGCCAAATTACAAGTACATCTGGACGATTTTGAAGGTTCTTGGCGCCCAACCCTGTTTGCATAATTAGCAAGCCTTCGTTCTTTTTACTTTAGTTTTAGTAAGCTGTTCTTTCGCTGGTCTGTTTAACAAGTTATTCTGTTTGTTGGTTTCTCTATTTAATCAATGTCAAAGTTTAAATTCGCAAAACTCACGCTACTACGAATTGCTCTCAGTACCAACGTCTCTTTACGTAATAGATATAAAAATGATCTGTTATGTATCTAAATCTCGAATGTCGATTCAAATTTAGGTAAAATCGCAGTTATCCAAAGCTAAGCAACCGGGCCTTACGTCAGTAGCAGTTTCCTGGCAACAACACGATTCCGGTTCCAGTCCTCCTGTTCAGGCTCCGCATCAGATCCTCTCCTTATTCAATGGCTCCAGACAAGTAGTTTATGGTTTTGTCGACAATTGCACACAGGTAAGTTGATTTCACGGCTTGTCAATATCATGAAAATAACGTTCTTGGTTGGTTACAACGTTCTTGGTTTTTGGTTATGGTTAAAGAAGTTAAATGGGCTCAAGAAAAGAAGAACTGTCCGCCTGATTACTGTGGAACCTCGATATAACGAACTATATAACGAAGTCTTTGGTATAACGAACGATTTTCTTTACCCCAGTAGTAGTAAAACATAGGGAAAAGTACCTCGATATAACGAAAGCTCGTTATAGCGAACATAATTTGCCAGTCTCTTGGAATTTCGTTATATCGAGGTTCCACCGTAAAAACGAGAAAAAATATTCGTGAGTTATCCTCGAGGTTTGCCTGCACCACAGACAGAACTAAACTTTTTGTTAAGTCCCTCGTGAGAAACAGCGCGGGAATCCATGTTCTGGGTCCTCACCTGTGTACCAGGATTTGAGAAGGCGCCATGATTGACCTGTTAAAAAAGCCATTGTCGATTCAGGGGCACCCAACGAGGATATAGTTCAAAACCACTTAACATAGCATTGTTTAACGTTTTTTAGTATACAAACGGTAGATATAGGCATATTTTTATCCCCTAAAAACTTTTCATCTGTTCGGATTTCCTAGCCGAAAGTCTAGTGGTCCGAAAATTATAGGGATGAAAACTTACCTTAACGAAAATTTGAGCCAGGAAAAGGCTCTCGAAAATTCTAGGTGGCCTTTTTTAGGGTCAAAATCCGTTAAAAATGGGTAATTATACCATTTTGTAGATGTTCGAAAATCCTAGGAGAGGCAGGCAAGCAAGAAATCTTACAACAAATGCTCCGAAAATTCTAGATCTCAAATCGTCTTCCGAACAGATATTTTCCCGAAAATTGCCGTTGGGTGCCCCTGTCGATTTGCCAATCAGGTTGAAGGCATGCAAATCCGAAACGCACTTCCGGTAATTCGTTGAGTCCGTTGGGCGCCCAGAGCAAGAATCTTGGCGCTGCTGCTTCGCAGACGTTACTAGACGTTGCTAGCCGGGGTAAGATTACATCTGCGACGCAGGCTACCTCGGGGGTCGCTTAACCACAGGCACCCACGCTCTCATTTGTAAACTGCAAATGGAAATTAAATAAGAGATAAAATCTTACCTGTTTTGTTTCATTCTTGAATCTGCTGTGGTGCGAAGTGAAATGGAAGTTGTTTTACGATACGAAAACTATGTGTTCAAGTCTTTAACCGTTGTTGATTTCACAATGCTTAATGTGGTCACGCGCCGGTTGTTATTATCGTCTCGCGTTTCATTGTTGGTTATTAATTTACGGTTAAAGCGTCGACTTGAACGTATTTTCTCATCGTAAAACAACTTCCATTTCACTTTGCACCACAGCAGATTCAAGAGTGAAGCAAAACAGGTAAGATTTTATCTCTTATTAAATTACCATTTATAGTTTACACATAAGAGCGTGGGTTCCCTATGGCTAAACTGAAACAACATAGCCCTCGTTTACGGTCAACAGAATAAATTGTGTTATTATCACCTTCTTAATCAGATACTTTGACGAATCATTATTCAATGAGTTTGATACTATTTTCAGTATCACGATATCTTGTTTGGTGTTTGTGGCTGAACTTAGAAAATATACCACTATCCCATGAAGGTGTGTTTAGGTAAGGATTAGCATTTCTGGACGGGGGCTGTAAAAAGATTTAAAATACAGTCTTTTGAACTTTGAGTCTTTTGAAGTAACAAAAAAGGTATTGTGGGCTTGCTGCCTTGTGAGTGAGATTACTTACTAAACTTTTCCTTGAAAATCGGTTTCGTATTACGTACTGGCACATGGTAAATAAGATTCCAAGGGTGAGACAGTGTAATATGGAGATCGACAGCAGTTTATGGTTGATGGGGTGATGATTCCCTTTTTTCTCGATCGTTTAGGCGACATTGAGTGCAGAAGTTAATGGGAAGACTGTGTCAACAATGGTGTATACTTCTGATCTGAATATTACAACAGGCAAAGTAAGTACGGCTACATAGCAAGATAATCGACTTTTCCTTTAGAACAATGGTGTTCATTGGTTAAAAGACCTGAGACCCTTTAATTCCTTGATAGAGTTGGAAACTGAAAATTTTGTTTTCTGCGGTGAAGGGAAAGCCGAAGAAGCCGAAGTAAAACCCGTCACAGCAAAGCCGGGGAACAACAACTAACCTAACCCGCATATATACTTCGGGACTGAGGCACGAAACCACGCTTTTGTCACAGACTGAGTGTGAGGGGAGCACCCGAAATTTGCAGACACTGACGCACTTGATCTATAAAGACTGACCAATTCAAATATTATATACAGCATACATCAATAACAAAATTAAATTGAACAAACAACTGAAATAATTGTCTGCAATTCACCAATATTTGGTATACCTTAACTAGGTTCTTCGGGTATAACCTGCATGTAAAACTACTTAATTTACTATTTCAAATTTTACCAGTGTTACTGATTGTAAATTACAATCAGTTATATTCCATGTATAGAGAGTGATGGCTGTGAACCACCAACCAACTGCTCCAACCCTAATAACCTGCTTGTAATATTTCGTCCATAAGTGTGGTATGAATAGTCCGATTTGCGACATTTCAACAGATTCTTCATCAACTTACCGCGAGAGCACTCATAAGAGACTGGGACGAAGGGAGCCTGCACGAGCAGCGCACTGGACACGAGGTCAGTGATGATGGGACTGTCAATGGAACCAATGACATCGTAAATTGAGATTATTTTCATTGTTAGCTTAAAACCTCTTTGCCATAATCAAGTTTTGCTTGCCTGTTTCTTTTATTTTAACAGGTTGTTAAGAGAAACAGGAAAGATTACATCATCACCATAAGCAAGGAATTCTCAGTGGTGTCAAAGTTTACAAGTTTCGTAGCCGTTGAACATAGGGAAAAGGTAATACTCGACCTTTGTTTCGAAAACGTATTGCCCTTTCTTTTCTTCAAAACAAAGTGCCAAGTTTCAGAAATTGGAACCAAGTTCTGTTCTACGACCCACGCCGTTTGTAAAAGTTTTGTAAATAAATTGTGCATTTGTCCAAGAATGCTAAAGAACCACATAAATCATATTTACAATTTGTAACTTGTTTGTTATCGTTCAGGACGAGAAATTTGAAGAAGGACAAGGCCCCAGCATTGAAGAGCTGGTTGCGGCAGAGGAAATAGACATACTGCAGTACATTGGCTGGGAACAGAAACCAGCTGATACCGACAGAAGACGCGAACCAGTAAGTAGAAAGTCATAGCTGTTTCTTTTTTACTTTTTCATTTCTACTTTCTCGATCCAAAATTTGCAGACTCTTTTTATGAAATTCTTTTATCGGATGATTTGTTCAAAGGAAGATTAACGCAAATCCAGAATTACCTTCACACTATTGGGTTGTTTGCAGGTTTCTCAAGATTAGCTAGAGATGTCAACTGAGCTTTGAACATCTCAGTCGGTGGTTGAGTTGTTGAAACCTATGTACTTTGTTGTAACAAGTATACTGAAACTACCTCAATTTTTTGGTTATTTTCGAGGAAAAAATGGAAAACCTTCTCTGTCTAAGTCAGACTCACCACAAAAAGGGCGACTGACTTTTGCTCAACCTTCCCACCCCCCACCCCCCCCCCCACATCATTTTGTTGTAACTAGAACCACCTCAGTTTCTTAGTTGTTTTCCTAAACAACCGAAAACCCTTTCCGTCAAAGCACAGTGCTGAAGTCACAGCAAAAAAGGCGAATGACTTTTCCTTCGTCCCTCGCCTCTTTTTTGAGGGTAAGTTGTACTTTTGCTGAACTATTCACCTAATCTGGCCTTTACCCAGTGTATTGAGGAGAAACTAGAAAAGCAGCTGCAAGAGGCTAAGGTGTTGGAGACATGCGCAGTGCTGCAATGCGAGCGCCTGTATAATGACGTCATGAAAGAGGCACACAATAAGCTTGGTCCTGATCATCCTTTGACAACCAAGGTAACTCTTGCGTTTATCTCTCTCTCTCTCTCTCTCTCTTTCTTTTGTTTGTTTCAGGAAATTATCATAACCTTTTAACCACCTGCTTTAGGAGTCAGCGCTTTAAAACTGCCACAACTGGGACCTGCTTTTTATAGAAGGCCCGGGGGGGGGGGAGTTACTTGGGTTAATTTTTACTGGGCATGTGCCGCCCGCCTGTCAGAACCCGTACCCGTTTATAGCCTATCCTGTGGCCAGAAATAGACCCCATCTTAGTCACTTTTGGGAAAATGTAATTTTCCCTATCCCAACTTAAAAAATTTCTTTTTATGCATCTAACTTAAAAAGGCCTTTCAACTAGATCATGTTGAAATGAATCGACACCTTGGTTAACTTTAATGAAGTAAAAATCTTCCCATTTTTAAATCCCAACCTACCTGAATTTTTTGATCCCCCAAATCCCGAAAATGTGTCATCCCATCAAAGTAACTCTAATGAAAATACAGCCCTACTATAGTCAATCCAGTCGTGAAAATGCGACCCCATCCAGAGACACATCCCCATTCCCGTACTACTAGGAAGTACCCCCTCCCCCCTACCCCGCCGCTCATCCTCGACATGAAATTTTATACCAAGGTTGATGTTTTGTACTTAGCTCATTTAGCCAATTTTCTAAAAAATAATTATCTCCTAAGGCAATTTAAAGGACTTTTTAGCAGTATAATATTTACATGTTATTTATGTATTTTTCTTTCATAGAAAGCAAGAAAAAATTTAAAAGTTATTCACAGGTTGTGTTCGTATTTCAGACAGCCTATGCCTTGTCCAATTTATACGAGTCTGTTTTTGGTGACAAGGAGAAAGCGCTTCAAGTTATTATTGACATTTACCGCGACGGTTACAGGTCAGTTTTTTTGTCTTCGAAAGCTACGTTAGTAAGACACCTTTGAAGAATTTCTACTCTTCCATACTGTTAGTGAATATAGCGTAAAATTCCGAAAATAAGCCCCTGGGCTTATATTTTTCCAAGGCCCTTTTTGCGGGGGGCTTATATTCGGAGGGGCTTATCTACGGAGGAAAATTGGCGTTTCAAAATCGATTGGGCTAGCCTTATAGTTGGAAGTAAATTTACCGTTTTTGCTTTGTTTTACTTTGTATTTGAGGACAATTTTCCAAGTACAAGCCCACGGGGGGCTTATATTTGGAGGGGCGATTTAACGGAGGGTTTTTTGCGTTACCCGTTTGGGGGGCTTGTATTTGGAGGGGCTTATACATGGAGGGGCTTATTTTCGGAATTTTACGGTATACTGTGTACAATCAAACGTGTTAAGCAGTCTGTCTTAGAGAATGGCGAAGTGTCCGCTTAATGTAGCTTAATGTTCGAGTACAACAGGAATTGTTGCTATAAACCAGACATAAACGTATTAAAGGCACTGGTGTGGTGATACTTGTTAACAAAGTGGCGTTATATAAAGTTTTCTTACAACTTTCCAGTCTTATTTTACCTTTTTGTTAACAGCGAAGACGAAGACTTCGAAGACAGCGAAGACGACGATTCGTCGAGTGATGAATGGAGTGAACAGGATGAACTTCCCGAGGCACTGTTGATGCAACAGGATGACCAGGAGAAGAGATCCACCACCAATGGCAGTAGCCGAAGTGGTAGTGTGATTGGAGATAAAGAAGAGAAAAAGTTAGTTGATGAAGTAGATGGAGAAGAAGAAGAAGAAGAAGAAGATTTACAGCAAATTGAAGACTCTTCAATTGAAGAAGTCGATAAAAGGAGAAGGGAAAAGGGAAGCGACAGGAAGTGTTTAACGAACGTTACCCTGGACAATAATGACGACGATCTCTTGGATTATGACGAAGAGGATGTTCTCTGTGAAGAGATGTCTATAGACTGGGACTCGGCCCCCAGTGAGGTCGTAGAGCAGGACATGTTTAGGGCAATTTCAAAACCAGTGTCGTTCTGTAAGTTTAACCTTTCAGTTCATTTTTGTCTCGTTGTCTTTTATTCATGCGCATAAATATTTACTGGTTTGGATCTCCTTTACCACTCAGATGTTTTGTGACTTCCAAAAGTGATTTTTCATCATAGCAGTAAGTTAATGCTTGTTTTTTGTCACAAGCTCGCTTTGACAGAGCCTTAGTTTCGTGACCCAGTCCAGTGTCATTCGTAAGTAGTGAGTAGTCCCCGTGGGTTTCCGCAATTGTGAGAAAAAGACCTCAAAACAACAACAAAGCATGAATAAAGCTTTCTGAGGCCATTTTAAGCATTTTGGGAGATTGCTGGGAAAAATGTATCCGTTCCCAAGAGAGAATGATCTAGCTCATTCTCTCTTGCTGTTCCTCATTCCCAGCAAGACTAATGGAAGAGTTCCAAGCCAGCAAGGTGCAACTACAACCGGCTGCAACCCTACTTACTGGGAAGTTTCCAATGAGAAGTATATCCAGACATTACTGGCCAGTTTGGGTGTGGTCAAAGGGCAAAATTGTGCCCTTCAGTGGCGGGGGGGGGGGTGCAGCAAGGATTATACAAATGGTACATAGCAGCTACTTTTGGACATCAAATCCCCTCGGACACCCTAAATTGTCCATTTCCCAGTCACACTTTCCTTCCGAAGACATATTAACTTTTCCAAATATCCCAGCCAGCAAAAATTTTGCCTTACAACAGATATTTTGAGGAACAGATCCATTGGCTGCCGTTGACTCATCATGATATCGCCGACAGCAGTTTATCCTTCATTATTCCAATGAAGACTGATAGGCCGGAAAAGGGCAGTTTCAAAATAAGAAAACGGATGGAGAAAGAAACATAGTTAAGGAGCTGGTCACACCCACAGACCCTAAATTAGAGTTCAGTAGACCGTAAAAAAAATGTTTACTGCTCAGAGGCTTTCATTTGAATGGTCGGCACACTTCAGGGTAAATTCTCACCCGCAGAACCTTAAGTAGAAAAACTTAAGTGTGTTCCAGTCTCCGAAATAGTGGGGAAAGCGGAACGAAAAGTTCCTTGAAAACCGCGTGGGAGCTGGGAAGAGACGGAGTCTTCTCTCTTTCCGCCGTTTTTCGCTCGTTCGCTATTTTCACTGCTCGCCCTGTTTTTTCGCTCTTCTGCACTGACCAAGAGCCTGTTACTGGCTAGAAACACGTTGCACAGGTACAGCCATAGAAAAGAACCGCTGATAGCTTTCATTTGAATGGTCACAGCGTATGATGTCACGCACAGATTCGAAAGTGAGAACCACATTTTACAGCGTAATAAACAGTACCACAACAAATTAGAGCGTTTCTGGTCAAATATGCATGATAACATTGGGGAGACACTATTATATAGTGAAGCTGTGTGTCAAAATATAGTTCTGTAGCGATTAATTAGCAATCTAAACAAAATGGCTTAAATCCACGATCTCTTTAGGCTGCGTGCGTGTTGGAAGTGGTGTGCTAACGAATGCAACAACTCGCAACAATGTTGGGACCTGCAGTGCATAGTGGGAAGCATACAACCCACCAGTCTTTGTCAACCATGCGTAATGAGCGTGCGTGGCCCCAACAATGTTGGAAGAGCTGTGCAAACGGATCCAACATTGTTGCGCTACGCTTCGGCGATCACGGAACAAAAGAAATGTTGGGAGTTGTCGTTGAAAAGTTTGACCGGTTTCAAACTTTGCGCAACAACACGCAACAACATCCAACAACATGCAATAGGGTGTGCAAACGGACGCTACATGTAACATCCAACAATGTTGGGAGTTGCTGGCCAACAATGTTGCGTCCGTTTGCACGGGGCTTTATGTTCACTGCATTGTATCGTCGTTACACTTAAGAAATTACGAATATTTTAATAACTTGAACAAAATAGACCGGGAAATGAAATTAAATCTTACATTTACAGCTTTTTTGGATGACGAAGAAGAGGAAAGCGAGGATGATGTTGGCTTTGGTGTTTATGGAGCGTTTAAGAAATTCGCAGGAAAAGTCACAAATAAGGCACTACAAAGAGAAGAATCACCCAAATACAGTCCTACCTCTCCTTCTTTGGAAATTGAAGAGACTACGCTCTCGCTATCCAACAAAGAACTGGAGCGATCTAGAAGCAAAGGTATTGTTACATCTCCATGTCGGTATAAATGTGTAGAAACCCCTCCCCTTCCCTCGCTCCCTTCTCCTTCAGCCCGTGGTCAAAATGTGAAATTTTGATATCTTTGATAATCAGCATCAGTTTCCCTAATCGATTGAAGACTGAAATTTCAGGAAAAGGGGGCTTAGTCACACTGGATGAATTCTTACCATCTTTCAACAAATCAGTCTTGCTCACTGCGCTTCAAAGGGTATGCATTGAGGCAGAAGGAAGAGTATGGGATTCAAAGTTAGGGTTACGTTAGTCGTAAGTACTAGCGACGCCACCAAAACCAGTGATGGCGTCCCGAATTGTCGGCTGTTTTCTCAGGCCAACTAGTAAGTGTTCCGATAATTTTGGCAAAAGTCGTATTTATTCAATAATTTGATAGAGAAAGTGATATTTAGAGTAATAAGAGAGAGCAAACTGAAAAAAAGGTGAATAAGATGTTTTTATACAGAGTGGGGTTTGGTTGTCAATGGCCAATTACATCAAAATTCCATTCAGCTTAAGCAGGCCTTGCCTTGTTTTTAATAGACCCTTGTATGTTTTTTTTTTATTTTTGACGTGGACAAGTTAGGGAAAATCTGTAGACACCACCGGAAAGAACGCCTGAAAATTAGTAACATTGCCAAGTTTGAAAACTAAAAGACGTAGCATCTCAAACTCGGAGCGATATGTTCGCAAAATTTTATAGACGCTAGAGGCTGAGGGTACAATCTTGCGCCCACCACCACCATACAAACGTCTGTAACTTTTTGCAACTTTGCAGAGCTTTATCATCGCTCCCTTAAGACGTATCACTTCCAATTTTGGCAGTTTTACTGTTTTTAATTTTTAATTTTAATTTTTCCATTGGTGTAACGGATTTTTCCTAACTGGTACATGTCAAAAGGTCAAAAAACCAATAAAGGGTCTATTGCTTCACTTTCTCATTTTCCATTCCTCTATTTAACAATATCATTATCATGTATTTATATTATGTAAAAAGAATGTTACCTAATGACCTCATAGACCTCATAGAATAAACGGCTGATAGCACGCGTACTATTCCACAGCATTGTTAAGGAACTGAATGAAGAACAACGTAAAGTCGATTATGGTAGTGGTAAATCTAATTGAACACGCTCTCGTGCGGTTGTTTCTACATTTTTTTGAATGCTTTCAAAATTGAATGAGCCTTGCTGAATGCCAGCCAAAATGTCTGCAATCAAAAATAATCCACAATTTTCTGATGTAAAGTGTTCTAGGTCATCTTGAAGATAACGTTTCGTGTCTTGTTTTGTATTACACAATATTTCAGATCGCTTTAAACGAGCTTACTAATCACACGCGTGTTATCTTTTTTCTTGACAGGAGTGTCAACCAGGGGCGCTTCTGACTTGTTGGAATCTGCAGAATCTGTTCCCGAACCTCAAGAACAGATTGGCCTGGGATGGGCTTCTTCAGATACAGCCCGCCTTGAAGCAGTGTTAGCCTCTACCCGTAGAGGAAGACCTGCGCGAAAACCTGCATTACAGGGTTTTTCTTTTGACCAATCAACCCAGCAATTGCTAAAACCACCACCTCCCCCTCCCTTTCCACCTCCTCCTCCTGGCGCAAGTGTAACCACTGCACCACCCCCTGCCTATGCACCCCCAGGAGCCGAGATCGTTGGAGGTGGTCTCCACACATCAGAAGCAGCGTCAGCTATTGTCAAACCTGGAAGACCAATAAGGCCATCCCCCGTCGAATCATCCTTGTCTGGATTTTCT